GTGGGTGTAGGCCTCTTTTTAACCAAAGGAGATATCAGGCATTATCCTAATGCAGCGGTTAGCATTAGTAGGATGGGTTTCTGCTTCATTGCTTAGCCCTGTGTTGCCTGACTCTTCTCTAAGCCTCTATTTTTTTGTAAAATATAGGTTGAAGAGTGAAGACTTAAAAGGAAACTAGTAGGCAGGCCTGTGATTTCCTTGGTTGTCCCTTTGCTTCTTGAGACTTCTGTGGGCAACAGTATGTGTGGTGGGGTTGTTTGTCTGTGGCTGCACCTCAGACTGCTACAACAGCTACAAGTATGGTGGGAGAGGTTGGGGGGGGGGGGTCCACAAAGTGATTTTAGGGCCATACTTTTCCTTCCAAGTTCTTTTCCTGTCCCACACCTCACTCTAAGTTGGAAATGCCTATATCCAAGAGACCAACTCTTTTGGGGAAGGGTGGTGTCTTTTCTCTCCTGCCCAATCATAGGCAAAAGAATAACCCTGGTTACCAGGGCCTGGTATTTTAGTTTTAGACAGCAGAGGGCAGAGGAATCTTCATCCAGAAAGAAATGTGAATGAAACAATTTTTCTTGCTTTGTGCATGTGTGTCCTACTTTGTAGCTGTACTCAAAGAAGTGACCATAACTGGGTTTGTAGGAAGGAACTTCATGGATTTGTTTTGTGTCAGAGTAAGGTCAAGGAGATTAAGTTCTATTGAGGTTAGCAGAGAGGAAGGCCTTTGGGTCTATATATGTAGATCATAGAAGAGGACAATTTGGGATGCCAAAAGGATAATTCTTTGCCAGCCCAATCTCTCCTCTTTGTATCTTCCTTTTCAAGTAAACCACTCTAAATGAATGCTCTCATATCCATTTCCTTTATCTTTTTGTGGGGATGTGGGGACCATTTGGTGAAAACTGCCAAAACAGTTCTAGTTTCTGATGGATTGGAATTCTGAGACTGGATTAGGTCATCTGGACCATGCTTTTGTGGTAGTAATACCAGTAGGGAGAGTAGGTCAGGCAGCTAACCACAGGCTGTATTAGGGTAGAGTCAAATCCCTCAAACATGTTAGGGGAAAACTAGCTAACTTTAGTCTTCAACCTTCGTACCTCAGAGCAGCTTTTGGTGTCCTATTTCACCTTCATGGAGGGGGCAGTTAGCTTAGGCTAGTGGGATAGGGATGGCCTTGCCTCTTTCAGTCCAATTCCTTGACACTGTAAAGCCTTCCAGCTAACGTCATGAGAAAGAGGAGCCCTTGGAGAGCAAGCAGTGGTGTTGAAACCTAGTTTTCTGTTCCTTCACACTCTGAACCAGTGCTTTTTTCCTTCTTCCCAGGTGAACTGTCTAGAGCCCCACCCTCACCTGCCTGTGCTGGCCACTAGTGGTCTAGATCATGATGTCAAGATCTGGGCACCTACTGCTGAGGCTTCCACGGAGCTAACTGGGTTAAAGGATGTGAGTGACCGACAGCAAAAGTGGAGCACTTTTCCCATCCTCTTGTGCCCCCTTCACTGACTCTTCTTTGCAAGAGGGTGTCCTAACGGTTTTCTGCCTTTCTCCTTCCACACATTATTGCCATTGTCTTCCCTAGACCTATGCCCATCCCAGTTTTAAAGGTCTCTCCATAATTGGTAATAGGAGGAAGAATCTTTTGGAAGAAACATTCACTACCAAATCCCTTGCCTGTTTAGTTCTGAACCCAGTGGCTCTTTCCCTAGCCCTGGCCACCCTCTATACAAGTAGCCAGGGGTTTTTCCTCCAGTGGGGATCCCAGTTTTGGGGGATGATACCTCCAGGCTACCAGGTCAGGCCATGGGGCTCTAGGTACTTCCTACTTAGGATTTATTTTCTTGGATTCCAGGTGATTAAGAAGAACAAACGGGAGCGGGATGAGGACAGCCTGCACCACACTGACCTGTTTGACAGCCACATGCTCTGGTTCCTCATGCATCATCTGAGGCAGAGACGACATCACCGGGTAAGTTGGAGTGGGGTAGGGAAGATCTGTTCTATCCCATTGTTCCCCAAGAACATTTTTCTTAATGAACTGGATTCCCCTCATTAGGAGGGTTAGAAAAAGCTACTGACCATTTCCTTCCCAACCCTTACTTCTGTTCTGAAGAAGAAAATGGAAGGTCTGGGTTGGGTTTCTCTTGCCTACCCCAGCACCCTCCTACCTGGCCCCACCCCAAGACAGCCATATGACTGCATTTTTCTTCGAAAGCCCTAATGTATTCAAACAAGAGCCACCACCAAATAGAGCTGGCACCTACGTCCTCTCTCTCCTCTGAGACATGGTAGTATTGTCTCTCTGTGTATAGGTAGGGTGATAGGTTTCAGTAACCTATTCAAATCTGAGGAGCTCCTAGCTTCCTCTCATAGGAATGTTGTTGGGAAGGGGGAAGGTGTTTGGAATCCTTGGATCCTTGTCATGACTCCTGTGGGCCCCAGTGTCCCGTTTTCTGGTTTGAAGGGCCTGCCCTGGGGGTAGTCACTAACACAAGCCCTCACCCCACCAACAGCGCTGGCGGGAGCCTGGGGTCGGGGCCGCAGATGGAGACTCAGATGAGTCCCCCAGCTCCTCAGACACATCGGACGAGGAGGAGGGCCCAGACCGGGTGCAGTGCATGCCATCCTGAGAGCCCTGAACTCCCTCGGGAGGGATGAGGGGTAGGGAAGGGAAGGCAGCTGAGGCCAGCCTGCCAACCTGCTCTGCTTCTCAGGGGGCATGAGGCTGCCCCTCTCCTGACGTACCTGAGGCCCTCACATTCAGCAGCATTGCACTTTGGACTTTTTGCTTTAGAAAAAGAAAGACATCCAAGGGGGAAGGACAGACTGGAGGAGGGAGACAAAACATTAAGATGCACAAGGGTCGGGTTGGGGGTTGAGGCCAAGAATGTGGTTCGGTGGAGAGGTGCACGGGACTCTGTAAAAATGGCCTCTCCCCAAATCTTTTCTTTCTTTTGTTTTTGAGCCTGTTGTGTTAGTGTGGTTTTTTTTGGGGGGGTGGGGGTGGCAGTGTTACTTTTCTTCTCTTCTTCCTTGTTTCTTTAGGGGAGAAGGCCAAAGAATCTTTGGCTGCTCAGCACCATGAAGCCAGAGTGGGAATGGAGGGGCCACTCCCTCTTTGGTTTAGGTTTTTTGATTTTTTTTCTTTTTTTTTTAAAGCCTGGGAAAGTTGCATTTTCTCCTCCTTCTCCCCACCTCCTCCCCCCCCAGTCCCTGCTTGTTCAGGGTAGTTTCACTCCCTGGTAGGACTCCCACCTCTGAGCCCCACCTGTCCCATTCACCTCTTCCCCTCTTTGTCCTCCTTCACATATCACAGTGTTTTGCACTTGATTTTGCCCCTTCCTTCTCCTTTCATCTTCCACCTCACCACCTAAAACAGGGTGGTAAAGAGGTGGGGGAGAGGGATGAGGATGGGGGGAGGGGATGGGATAGGAAGGATGTCAACTTTTCTGTTACTTTTAAGGAAATGTATGTTTGGCGGCGGTGACGTCCCTTTCCCTATCACTGTTAGAGGCCTAATTTTATATCTATAAATATATTAAAAAGCAAATCAAACTTGGATGTCATCAAGTTAAAATTATTGTCAAAGTTTAAATATATGTTCTCTATGAATGCAATAAAGGGAATGGGTGGGAGGGTTTTAAGGAAGGGAGTGGGATTAGTGATGGGGATGACAAGTGGAGTTAGCTTCCCCTTTTTGTCCCCAACACACCTATTTGGGGTTTTCTTTTTGGATCCTAGGAGTCTGGAGGAGGGGAATCCAACTTTAGAGCACAGCTGCCATGAGAAATAGGCAGGGCTTCTCATTACAACTTGGATGGTATCCTTCCCTTAGCCCCTGAAACCTTGCCTCTACTTAGTTTTGGTGGGTTTTTTTGTTTTTTGTTTTTGTTTTTTTTGGTGGGGTGGTTCAGGGAATCTGTTCTCTTTGGCCCAAACGCCAGACACCCATTAGAAGCACGACTTGACTGGGCCCTAGAAAGGTTGTCACTCTTTAAAATCTTGTTTCTTGTTCCCTTAAAAAGACGCACATACCCACCCCCCCCATATAGCCCATACTTCATCCAGCCCTTCCCTCCTTTCACCCCTTCCAGTAGGAGCCAGTGCTCCAAGAGAAAGGTGAGACTTTGAGACTTCATAGATTCCCCTTCCCCCAACCCCCAGTTTGGGGACACCAAGCAGGAAGGCTCAGCCCTATGGAAGAATTGGCCAGTAGCAGAGTAAAATGGCTCAGGGATAGGTCCCCTTGCCTAGGCATTTGGTCAGGATAATAGAGAGTAATCAAAATGGAATTATGCCCTGAAGCCCCTGGCCTTGAGTGTTCTAGTTGCTCTTGCTGTGCTTCCTTCAGTCCCAGCCCTCCACCAAGCCCAGTCAGGGAACATGCTTCCTTGGCCTGGAACTGTAAAACTCCCTCTAGGCCTGCCCAATTGAGGAAGAAGATGAGTTGGATAAAGATGTCCTTGCACTCTTCTCTCTCTAACACTTTACCCAGCAGCTCTCAGGCCAGATGTTAACTAATCTACCCACCTCCATGAAGGATGTGAGGGAAAACTGAGTGGTCTGAGTCCCTTCTGAGTGCTTTTCTAGGGTAAAGTGGGTTGGTTGGGGAATAAAGCACTCTGGAGTTTGTTGTATTTTCTCTCAGTAAAAGCTTTTTTTTTCTGACTTTCTTTGCTGCTGTGTGTGGTATGTGGGATCTTCACTGAGGGCCGTTGCTCTTTCCTGAATTAAGTGCCTGGCTCTCTTTGACCCCTTTTTCTACCCTCAGGAATTTTCACAAGTGGCCTCAGAAGAGGGTTTTTAGACTCACAAAGCCCAAACCTAAGCCTGGCACTTTGTAAGCTTAATGAAGTTTATGGAGGGGACCTGCTCCAACTTTCCCTACAGTTACCCAGACCTCTGTCGTTAATAAAACCACAATTACAAAAGAGGCAGCATTTGATGCAGTGGGGCTTTCATGAGTTTCCGAATTCTGACTTCTCATAGATACTCCAGAACCATGGTTGTATTCAGTACAATCACCTTTATTCCAGGGTTAGAACAAGGCCGTGCACACCACAGACAGAGGGGCACAGGGAAAGGGGGTGACTCTCAACTGCAGTGCAGGATAGTGGGAGGGTAAGTTAGTATTTTTTTTTAAATCTGTCTTAAGAGAAACCAAGGGACAGGGAATTTTGAAACTAAGGTGACCCTGCCTTCGTTCCCTCCCAGCTAAGGGCGGGGGTGGCACCCCTCTTACCCCAACAATTATGTACCCCCTAACATAGGAAGTAAGAGCTCATTTCTCTTCCCAGTCCCACCAATCTCCTGTTTGCTTTGGGGAAAAGGAGCCAGTGTCCCCTTAACTCCTAGGGAAAAGCCAGACAGGACTAAGGGGTCTTAGGAAGGTCCTTAAGGCAAAACCGCGGAGTGTGTAGAGGTGTTTGTTAAGGCAGGTGTCTGCAGCAGTGGCAGGATGGGGGCAGTGGGTATAGAGGTTGGGGTATTTGGGGTAATGGGTAACCTCTAGCCCTCTGGCTTCTTCCCTCTTCCAAATAGCTGGCTTATTCCTCTCACTTACTTTCTACTCTTACTTCCTCCCTAGAAGCAACAGACACAAAAACTTACTCTAAATCAACTCTAGGCTTGAATATGATTTTCTTTTTTTTTTTTTAGAATTTGCCTTTTCTTCTGTTTTGTCTATGTGCAACCCCATCCCCCACCCCACTCCCTTTCCCCAAGCTCTCTGGTCTGATCTAAACAATAAGTTAACACTAGAAACCACAAAAGGGCAAACATGGCAGTGCGGGTTTAATATACATATATGTAGAATATATATGTACACACAGTTAGCACGGTCAGGGTAGAGAGGGGCATCTTGGGGTCCATAGGCTGGGGTCAATACTCCTTAATGGTTTGGCTAGGAAATGGCCATAAACCCAAGGGGCCAGGAAATGGGGCCAAGTGGAGGAGTGATATCAGTGCTCTCCCTCCCAGACTGAGCCAGGTCTCTTGCCTAGGGGTGCAGAATTAGTGCAAAAGAAAATACTGTAGTTTCCCCCTCCCCTTCTCTATTGTCTGGGGGCATTCCAAGTTTGAAGAAATAGGGGCAATTCCCCATTAGCCAATGGTGGGGTTGGATTGGAATTGGGACCCGTAGGTCCAGTCCCTCAGGCTCAGGGCTGGAGTGTTTCTCTTGGGGGACGACTGATTGAGGATAGCCCTCCAGTCTTCCTCAGGCTCAGGGTATTACTGTGAAACAGTCAACAAAGAGGAATGGAGGAGCAAGGGAGGGACCCCTGCCCCCTGCCATCCTCCCTCAGCTTTGGCCTCCCACTTCCTCTGCCTTTCTAGAATGGAAAGCAAACAGGGGCTTCAACTTTAGAGAGCTTCTTATACCCATCTCAAATGGGTTAGAGAAAAGTGAAAAGGGGTTTGTTTATTCATGCCCTTCCATTCTGTTAGAGAATGGAGAGAGGGCATAGAGGGGATCTGCCCTATAGCTCAACTGCAGTGCATGAATCTCGACCTCACTGAGCCTCCCCCAAGTGGGGAGCTCAGGTCCACTCCTGGGCCACATTGGCCTAGAACTACTACTTTACTCTTTCCTTATGTCTTCTCTCTTCTCACCCCTGAATGGGCCCTTCTCAACCCCTCAACATTCTTAGTTTTCCTCATCCCCATCTTTCCTCATTTCATTGGGAAAAATCAACCCCTCTCTGCTCCTAGACTTTTTGTGGGGGGCATAAGGAGGTAAGGGAGTGGAAGTGGGAGATGCAGGGGGAATGTGCTGATTTCTATTTGCATAGAAATAGCCCCCACCTCCCCCTAGAGTGGGGGGACTAAGACCCCATACCCTGCCCCCCCATCCACCCAGGGGGGACTAGGCGAGCTAGACGGACAGACAGACAGCCAGAGCGTGCGCACACACACGCACACACACAATTGGGAGTGGTTAAGACCAGGTTAGTGAATAGGTAGGGTAGGGGGTGGTGGTGTAGTGCTTGCCCCTGCCCCCTCCCCAGGAGGATGGGGGTGGTCCATTGAAGGTCCAACCTTCCTCCTCTTCCTCCTCCTCCTTCAAGCCTTCTTTGGCGGGGGGGCCAGCTTGATGATTTCTTCCTCTGAGGGCTGCCGGATGATGTCTGGGAGAAAGAAGGGGATAAAACCAGGGACAGCTGTGGCTACAGGGCATGGGAAATGAGTTCTTTATGAAGGGAAACAAGACCCTGTTTGGCTGTTTTAGCCTTTTATTCCTCAAAGCCAGGGACCATAACCCAAGCATCTGTAGGCCTAGCCTCCAGTACCCAAGGAATCCTGTGGTGGGAGGGAGTTAAGGATAGAGGAAAGGGCAGAGGATGACTTTGTGCCAGTGAGCAGGAAGGCAAAGGGATGCAAGAGTAAAGGAAGAAGACAGCCAAAGGTTGGCTACTTGTGGGGCTACCTCAGGCAGTGTCTCCTACCTTTGTACTTCTTGGCACTAGGAATGCGGGTCAGTTTGGTGTCCAGCTCATCCTCCTCAGAGATCTTTAGCACACGGGTCCTGTAGTCAACCACCATGGTGAGCAGGTCTGGTCGCCTTGAAATCTCAAAGATGTGCTCTATGTAGGACAGGTTATCTAGAAAGATGAGGGTAAGCAAGTCAGAGCTGGCAGAGCACCTCCCAGAGCCCTCTGGGTGTTAGAGCCAAGGCTGAGCATAGACAGGGAAAGGTGGAAGAGTCTGGAGGTAGCTGTGAGGACAGATGAATCTTAAGAGTGCTTCTAAGGCTGAGGGGAGCCTCTAAAACTCACTGTAATTATGTCATAATAAGAATGGTAGTTCATATAGCAACTAAAGGTCATTACAAAGCCCTTTCCTCACAAACAACCCTGTGAGGTTGAGTGTGACTGTCTTTCCCATCACACAGATAAGGAAGCTGAGGCTCCAAGTGGTTAAGTGACTTGTCCATGGTCACGCAGCTAGCAAAGGCTGGAGCCGCCATTCTAATAAAGTACTGCACCACATTGCTGTAAGGGGGAACAGAGCATCCTTGCCAAAGTGTCTGCAGCATTGTGGATTTAAGGTAGATATTGGGTCAGGGCTTTAGGCCGGTGCTCCCCATACGTACATACAGTCTGATGGTGGACCCACAATACTGCACCAGCAGGTATTCTGCACAGAAATTCCAGTGTGAAACTACTGTATAATATTTGAAGAAAATTTCTCATGTAGGACTGGTCAAAGGACTGGGAGGTTTAGGCAGAAGGGTAAGTAGACAAGCCCACCCCTGAATGAACACTTCTTGGGCAAGTCTGGCAAGCATGAGGAGGCTTTCTCATTCAATCCTTCGAGCCTCTTCCTTTTGTTCCTGCCCCCCCAACCCCAGCAGGCAGCTGGTCAGAAATTGAGCTAAGTGTGGAGGTCTTAAGGATATCCTGAAGTTCCTGGTCTCCATCAAGGAACGTGCACGTGCACGTGGAGAGACACATACATACCTTTGTCCAGCTTATTGTGGGTCTCGAGGAAGTGAAACCAGGCACTCCCAGTAGTGATCTCCTCACTCTTCTCACTTGGGATATCTTCTTTGCAGGCAGACTTAAGCTGTTCCAGGTCCTCATGGGTGATGTTGTCAGTCAGGTCCTGTAGGAGGGTCCCGTACTCTGCCATGGTTGAAGGTTCTAGGGAACTGAACCAGGAAAAAGGAGTGTAGGCCATGATGATCCCATTGCCCTCACTGGTCACTCAAGCTGAGTGAAGCCATAGCTCTTGGTTGCCTTTTGGGAATCAAGGGAAGATGGCCTTTAGCTCCTTCCTTGAGGCCTTTCCCACAACCAAGTTTTCCAGGTACACAAGGGTAGAGAGAGGGGAGGAGAATCAGCAAATGCTTAGGGGAAAAGCAGGCCCAAGTCTTGGCTGTTTGAAGAAAGATGTTTCTGCCCTGGAGGAGGAGCTGTAGGAAGGTAGGAGGCAAGGAGATGAGTTGGGGGAAGGGACCACAAAGACAGACACACCCCTTTCCCTATCCCTCATTCTTCCTTCTTCCCCCCCCATCAGTAACCCTGGCAACAACTCCCCTGACGGAGGAGGCGGTTACCATGACAACCTAGCTTCTGACTTTCTCACCCACTGTCTACTCTCCCCCCCTTCTCCCCCCCACCCCAATCAACTAACTACTGAGGGTGGCTAAAAGGAAGGCTTATGAGGGGGATATTCAGCACAGAAACCCAAGAATCCCAGTTCCTGTCCTCTTCCAAAGGAGCTTGGGCCCTTTCCCCTGCCAGAGTAAGAAAGCCCCTCTTTCCCACTGAGATCTGGCCTATGAGCTCCAGCTGTACCCCCCTCTACATTGAGTCACTTTTGGATGAACGCCTGCCCCCCTGTTATGGCCCCTCTGGGTTCAGTAGTGCATTCAGTCCCATGGGGGAAGGCAGGGAGCCGTGGTCCCTTCATCTCCTCCCTCATCCCCTGCAGGGTCCTTTCTCTCCTCAGACTGGCCCATAGCTCCCACTCACCCTTTTCTCTCCCAGGCTTTGTGGTCCTTTGTACATCCCCCCGCGGCCAGGAATACCAAGCGGCTAGTGCTGGCCCCCTGCCCAGTTCCCAGGCCGGCTGGGTGGTATTGGAGGTGGGGTGGGGAGAGAAACGGTTTCTAGGGTGTTATCAGAATAGAGGTGGAGATAGACTAGGCTTACACCATCCTTTCTGGGTCAGCCTCCCTTCCATCTAGTTTGTCTTGCTGTCTCCCCCTATGTATCAACTCCCTCTACACCTCTGATCTCTTCCTCCAAGCCTCTGTCCAGCCCTGGTCCTGTCATGATTTACAGGATTTGGGATTAGAGGACCTGGGTTTGAATGTCAGCTCTGTTACTTGCTACCTGTGTGACTATGGGTAAGTTACTTCTTTAGCCTTAGTTTCTTCTATAAGTTGAGGGAATTTAATTCAGTGACTTCTCTGGTTCCTTCCAAATCTGTGATCCTGTAATCTGTTGCTTGGATCTTCATATGTGGACCCCACTGTTGTCCTTATCTCCAGTCTTTATCCACTGAAACTCTTTTCCACTTGCCCTTGTCCCACTCTCCTGGGACTGCAAAGTCTCAGGAAGTGGAGAGATGCAAGGACCAGATCTAGTTTAAACTCCCTCTAGATTCCCCATGCTTATTAAGGGAGGAAGAAAGCATCCTTTTTAACACTGACCCTGAGAGGGACTGGGCCTCTAGTAGGATGGAATAAAGTTAAAAGATTAGGGTGAGAACTACTTCCCAACTCCTGCAGGTGTGAATCCCTCTTGAGATTGGCCTAGGATAAGCACTGACTGGTGGGAGGGTGATATACCAGAATCTAGGATATCCAGTGGAGATAATCCCCCTACCAGCCTTCCCTAAATTGGGGCTGTCCACAAAACTATATCATCTTAACATGCCTCAGCACCCTCTCCTACCTCACCAAACCTTCCCCTCTATCCTATCTTATCATACATGAACACACACACACACACACACACACACACACACACACACACACACACTTCCTGGTTCACAGGGAAATTGAGGCAGACACCAGACATCTGTAGCCAGGATGCTGGAGTTCCCATTCCCAGTTGCCTGCTCAGACTAGGAAAAACCAGGTTCCCTCTAGGGCAGGCACTGTAGCATCCATATACAAAGAAGCAGAATTAAGTGCGTCCCACAATAAGCCTGAGCCACACAGGCATACAAACTCGAGCTCTCACACCTAGGTGCAGTCAGACAGAAGGGCCCAGCAGTGGCTACAGGCCCTGGCTGGGCTGAGAACAATGCTCTCTTGCCTGTCAGCACCAGGAACTGTCTCCACCCAGAAATCTAGGTCACAGCCAGCTAGCTCCTGTGCTGCCCAACCCCCTTCCCCTGGGACAGACAGAATGGGTGGGATGGAAGATGATGGGCAGGGCAGTAAGACTTGGGGAGTTGGGGGGCAGGTTTGGGGTGTGGGAACTGAAAGGGATGGGAAAAATCAGAGAAAGGAAAAGGTAGGAAGGTACAGGTCACCAACATGCTGAAAGTATCCTTTGCTCTGTCCCCAGCTCAGCAGGCAAGAGAACCTGTGAAGGAAGGGTATATATGGGCCAGGGGGGAGCCTGTGAGAGAGGGAAGATGGGTGTGTGCTGCGTATATCTGGGTAACCAAGCTAATTTTCATGAGTATGTCCTTGACTGTCTTACTTGACAGTCATACTCTATGTGTGGGTATGTGTCTGTCTGAAGAGAAGTTATGGATTCACGGGTGCAAGTATGAGATGGATCTACAAGGGATTAGTATAATGTGTGACCTAAACCCACAGAGGCACTAGAGGAGGAGAGTACCTGCAGTGTCAAAGGGATGGGCCAGAGAGAGAGAGAGAGAGAGAGAGAGAGAGAGAGAGAGAGAGAGAGTGTGTGTGTGTGTGTGTGCGCACGCGCGCGTGCGCGTGCGCGCATGCCCACGCATTGCAGAACATTCACATCTGTCTGTATGTGTGAGAAAAGGATTGGGCATCAGCTTTGAGACCGAGGTCAGGGAGAGGAAAAGGCTACTGGGATTAAGGCTGAGGTGGATAAGAGATCCTGAAAGGATCAAGGGATCACAGGGAGGAGGGGAGAGTACCTATAGAAGCAGAGAAGAACTCCAGTCTCACTATGGCAACTATAGCTGGGCAGACTGTCCCCCTCCCCCCACTACATTTTACACACAATGACCATAGTCTGCCTGGAGTTGCCCTTTTTGCCTGGGCAAGGGAGAACTGCAGCACAAGGATGGAGGTTAGACTTCTGGAGGACCCAGGAAACAACTGCCAAGGTGTGTCCCTCCCTGGAGGGAGGCTGGGGAGCAGAGAGCATAGAAACAGAATCCTAGCATTGGAAAGAAGGAATAACTTCAGAGGTAACGTGAGTCCAGCCTCCTAATCTGGGGCTCCCAGATGTCCTTGATCCCTGTGGGGGCAGGGTTCCTGTCCGTTTTCTCTTACCATGCTCCCCACCCCCTCACTGTTGGAGGAGCTCCAAACTTCTGGGCAGGGTTGCTCTGTGTTAAAGCTAAATTCTAGGACTTTAGAACATCCAGACCCAGGGAATGGAACTCAGGATGTAATCTGGGTCCTGGGCCTTAAAAGTTCTCTACTCTGCATGATCCTGGCTGTTTGTTACCCACTCCCTCTCAGTTCATGTTACCTCTCCCACCCCCAAGCCAGGACCTTATGAGGTTTTTGGGCAATTCTGCTTCTCTCTACTTTGGGAAGTCATTCTTCCAGAGGGTTGGCTAGTATAGTGCTCCAGCAGCGCCACACTGGGCCCATCTGGTTCTGGGTGGAGGACAGGATACCAAGGCAGGAACCCGGAACTAGAGCAGGAAGTCCCCTTCCCTCTGTGCTCATTCTCCCAATTCCTTACTGTTTCCTTGATCCTTCCTTAGTTCCTTCCTCTTCCCCTCTTCTTTCTCTCTTCTGCTTCCAGGGCTCCCCTAGGGTACATCCCAAACACAAGCTGCCCTTAGTCTGGGCCAGCCCAAGCTGGGGGTTGTGAGAGAGGGAGGGGGATAAATATTGCTTTAGGAAATGCTCATCAGTCACTGATAAATTGGGATGGGAATTGCCCGGCCACTAGGGTGGGAGGGGTAGGTTTATAACTGGGAGCAGAGGTTGAGGCAGGGGCTTCCTAAGGGATAGAGGGAGAAAAAGAGGACTTAGGGATGAATGGGGGTGGGGCACTTTGAGAGGAAGGCACTGAATATTCTTGGGAAGAATAAAAAGATTGAGATGGGGGTGAGAACTAATAGTGATCACTAAAAGCCTATCTTCACATTTTGACATTAAATCAAACTTGGGCAAGTCATTACCTCTCCAAGCCTCAGTTTCTTCCTTTTAAGATTGGGCTATGTGATCGTTAGTGACTTCTAGCTTTAATTCTGTGAGCCTATGACTTTCCCCAAACTGGGGGTGCTTGAATCTGCTTTTTGTCTGCTTCCTGTTTGTGGATTAGGGATGATGATCACATTCAATACTGGAAAGGGAAACAAGTGTCTGTTTTAGAGTGTTGGGAGTAATGGAGAAAACTGAGAAAAGATTCCTGCCCAAATTATTCCTAATTCTTTTTCCTCACCCCAAGCACTGCGGCAGACGCACGTTTAAGGTGCCTTGGAAAAAGGGCCGTGATCCCTAAATATCCCTAGGTCTTCATCTTTGAAAGCTCCTACACTAGGTGACTCCACATCCCCAAACTCTGCTATACACTCCCCTTCTTTCTCCCTCACTGCCTCTTCCTCCCTACTAGCACCTGCCTTCCCCCCAAATTGAGTATCTGGTGCCAAATTCCTCAGTAAGCTCAGGATAATGCAGTGGGAGTCAGAGGATTAGGAGGCCCAACCCCTGCCCTCACATCTGCTTTAGCTGCCCCAGCACCAGGCACTGGTGCCCAGGGAGGGGCTCTTCTGCACATAGGCACAGGCAGGGAAAAAAATGGAACTATGGTTGGGGGAATGGCATATTCAGACTCCCAAGGAATTTAAATCTTCTGGTGCTGGTACTCTGACCTGTCCAGAGAGGGACAGGGGCGATTGGGAAATGGCTACTCAGAATCAAGGGAACAAACTATACTATAAGAAATGGTGAAATATAAGGAATTCAGAGAAGCACAGGAAGACACGAGCCATGTAATAAGCAAAGCCAGGAAAACAAGATAAACAATCATGTAACGCAACAATGTAAAATGGAAAGAACCTGTCAGAGCAATGGAAACTGGAAGCTGTAAAATTATGACCTAAAGTTTGGCCCGAAAGAAAAGAAATGAGAATGTGCCTCCCTCCTCTTTGTGTGGGAAAGCGGCATATGATGCGGCACTTGGTTAGTTTTACTCAACTGATTTTTTCCCTTTTTGTTTGTTGTTTTTAGGGATGGTTTTTAGGATGGTTCCCTGGGAGGGGGAAGGAAAGAGTGGTATTTTGGGAAATGCAGGTGATATAAAAATAAAAGATATTAATAAAACAATTTTTAGGTGTGAGGCGAAGGAGAGGCTGGTGGGGTAGGGTAAACAAGAAAGCCATTTCTTTGTCATGATCTGAAGTAAAAAGTCTTAATGCACAGAGTGCTTTACATCAATATTGAACTATTAGTAGAATGTAAGCTCCTTGAGGGCAGATATTGTTTCTTTCCTCAGTGCCTAGTATAGGGGCTGGCACATAGCAGGCACTTAATAAATCCTTGTTGAATTAAATTGATTATCATTATTTGAACTTCGGGGCCTGGAGATCTACCTTTTCATTGCTTCTGCCTGCTCCCCTAAGATGGAAGAACTCAGTCCTGGAAAGGGACCAGGCTACAGAGTTCCCAGGAGCCTTCATGTCCACTTGTTCCCCTAACTGCCCCATCTCTGCTTCATTTCAGCCTCTCAGTATCTCTCTATTACTCTTTCCCTTCATCTCCATCCTCCATCCATGTCTCTCTCTCCCTGTCTCATCTCCTTCTCTCCCTTTCCCTTGTATTAATCTCTCTCTTTCTCTTCTTGGCTGCCATATTCCTTCCTCCTCCCCACTCAGTTTTTCTTCCTCCTTAGTTTCTCTCCCAGGCACACAGACAGGTTGAGATTGGGGCAACTCCCGTCCCTCTTTTCCATGACTCTATCCTTCCTGGTAGAAGCAACAGGTACTCAGGACTCCTAGAATTTCCTCTTCTTTATCCCTCCCCTGCTTGCTCCATGACTCTGTGCCCACTGTGCTCCAGTGAGAAGGCCTGGGGTACACCTAGTCCCCTTGCCCAAGTTAAGAGGTGGGGTAACTAACTACCCTATCCATGATACAGTGTGTGTGTGTGTGTGTGTGTGTGTGTGTGTGTGTGTGTGTGATCTTGTCCAAGTCAATGGGGATAGTGCTTCTTAAGGTTACCTGTGTGTATGTATGACAGTCTGTTTGAAAACCTGCCTTTATGAGTTTATAGGTGAATGTGTGAGGTTGACTAGCACAGTCCTTTACGCATTTGAGGGTGCTGTGTTTTATAAATGTCTGTGTATCTAAAGTGTCCAATATCTCCCCAATACAAGGTTGGGGTGAAAAGGTTTCCTGTACTGGCCTTCTTCACCATGCTGGGTCCAGGCACAGGCACTAGGAGGGACCAGAGGAGCATGCAGTGGAGGGTACAGCTGGCAATTTCCCCAAGTGTGTTTAACCACAAAGGGAACTAGCAATTAAAGTGATTATGGCTCTGACAGCCCCGGGGGCTTGAGGCACACGAACTGCACAGACACAGAGCCCTTCTTCCTTCAGACATCTGGAGGGAGAAAGAGGCATAAGGTGATGTCAGAATCTTCCTACCTTTATCACTCTTCCATTTGATCTCTCATTCTCTCTCTCTCTCTCAATGTTTTCTCTCTTCCTCTCACATTCCCCTCATTCTTTCTGACTCCCTCTCCATCCCTCACTGACTCATACTCATTCTCTTCCTTCCCCCCCCTTCCTACTCTGACTGCTGAGCTCACTGTAGGGTACATCTACCACTCTGTCAGTTCCTCAGCTCCAGACTGGGACAGACAGGAGACCACCAGGGTATCCACACCTTTGCTTCATAACCAACTGAGATCTCCAACCAACTTACCCTTAGAATTTTGCCCCACCCAGTCCCCGGATGGGTAGGAACCAAGATTTTTCTCCCATCCCCTGCTTAAAGCTTTAAACAAGGAGAACAGAGGCACAGGGTTGGATGAAGCTGTTCAGCAAGTCAGGCAAGGGCTAGGACCAGTGGCCCTTCCACACCCCAGGCAGCTGTCCTGTTAGAATCCAGCCTCCTCTAAACCTCCAATCCAGTAGTTCTACTCGTGGGGGTGGGAGTGAGGAAGAAAAAACGCAGAGCCAGGTTCCTGTGTGTGATTGTGTTTGTGTGTGAGAATCACATCAGCATGTCACCATTACACTGTGTTAACTGACTCCCAAACAGCCCCCTCCCCGATTATACAGGGTGTCTCCCAGTCAGCCAGGCACAGATTGCAGGAAGTTGAAGGTACGACCAGATATACCTCTGCTCCTTCCTTAAACAGAACCCCTTCCCCAGCTCCATCTCACCCCACCCCCAATCACAGACCTTCCCGAGCAAAGGATTCAGGAGCCCTCCAAGCAAGATATCTAGTTTGATCTCTCTCCAATAACAAGGGGCTGGGGTCTACTATCCCTGAACCTCAAAGGAGAGAGAGCCAGCACTTGGAAAAAGAGCCTGGAATGGGATGGGATGATCTGGAGGGGAGGGGGAAAGAGATGGGGGGAGGGGTGCGGCCGAGGCCGTGTCCAGAGTGGAGAGGAAGGAGGGGCGGGGAGTCGGAGCTGGCCTGGGCCGAGGGCTGGGCGGGAAGCGAGCTCCATCCTAATCCCGGCCCCGCTCTGACTCCAGATGCCGAGTCCGGGGGGAAAACGTGCCGCCGAAACCGCCCCTCCCTCCCGATCCAGGACGCGCGCCGGCTCCGGCCGGGGCGCCCCAGGAGCCGCGGCCCCCGCCGGACCTCATCCCGCCTCGTGGCCCCCGAGTCCCCGGCCTCGCCCCCGCCCCCCCACGGCGCGGCCCCAGTCTGGCCGCTGCGCCCCCCAAGCCTGGACAGTCCGCAGACGTGCGCACGCCCCTGCCCCCGGGGACTGGCGTCTCTGCCCGGAGCCCTGGTACCTCTTCGGAGCTGAGCGCGCAGGGGCCGGGCCGGGCCGGGCACTCTGGACTGCCCTGATTCCTGACCAGCCTCGGGAGCCGCCGCCGCCGCCGCCGCCGCCGCCGCCGCCGCCGTCTCTTCCGCTGCTGCCGGAGCCCGAGCCCCAAGCCCAGCGCCGCCTCGCCCCACCCGGCCGGCCCGTGATGTCAGAGCCGGGGAGGGGCGGGGGGCGGGAGCGGCCGCCGCGGGGGCGGGGGCCGGGGCTCTGGCCGGCCGCGAGGAGCTGGGGGAGGGGGGCGTCCGGCGTAGGGGAGGGGACGCCAGCCCCCCTCCCCGAGATCTGGGATCCGAGCCCTTTTCAGCCGCCCCGCCCCCTTCCTCTACTCGGCACTCAGTGCTCTTAGCCCGCTGGTGAGAATGGAAGGAGGGGGTGATGTAAACCGTTCTTCTCGCACCCCTATCTCCAGTCTCCGGAAGCCACAGCGGGAGACTCAGGGTTTTTCTCTCTTGACGGAGATCCTAGAACCTTGGGCTCTCCTCCACTCCCAATCCCTCCAATCCTCCCGTGACAATCGGGAAAATATCTTCCTCCCCGGCGGCCTTAGTTTCCCCGAAGTGCGAGAGGGAAAGGGGTAAGGGGATGGGGCTGGGGCGCCGGGGTAGCTGCTTTCGGACATGACCTATATTGCTTTGTCTCGTGGATTGGGGGAAAGGGAGGGACCCAGTGAGGACCGTTCCTTAATCTTCCAATTTGTCTCCCTCTGTGTCCTGATCCCAGGAGCACGTTTCTGTCCCTTCATTCCTCCTAGAGATCTTTTCGTTTTCCTAAAATGAGGGGTTTGGACTGCAAGAAATGATGGAGGGGATGATTTCAGAAAGATCTGGAAAGACTTAAATAAATGCAAAATGAAGACAACAGAACCAGGACAATAATTTACCCAGTGACAGCAATATTGTAAAGATAATCAACTGTGAAACACTTTGTAACTCTCATCAACATAATGACCCACCACAGTTCCGAAGGACTCATGATGAGAAATGCTATCCACCTCCAGATAGAGAACTGGTGAACTCAGAGTGGCAGATTGAAGCATATTTTTTGTTCTCTTTCTTTTTTTTTCTTCTCTTTTTCCTTCACATGGCTAATGCGGAAATTTGTTTTGCATGACTTCATATTTGTAAGGGGTTTTGTATTTCTTACCTTTTCAATGGGGGGGAGGGGTTGAGAAGAGAGCACTGAAAAGAAAACTGAATGGAAAAAAAAAAGAAGGGTCTGGGGTCTGGGCCAGCAGTATGTAAATATAGGCCAATAGCATGCAAAACAACAGTTAGTTTAGGAGTCACTATTCTGTTGCAGAAAGTATAAAGAACTGGGGGTGGTTCAGGCCCTGCTAGTGTCCAGGGTTAGTGACTCTCACTTCCCCCCAAAACCCTCTGGGGCTTTCCTGGCTACCCCAGACCAGCTAGAGTGAAATGAAAGAGGAATAAGGAAGCAACTGTCCTCCCTTTGACTTTGACAGCCCCTCTTGTTTGGATTTCTTCACCTCACCCCCTACAATATTATGTTTACCTCAAGGGAGAGGGAGGCACTTAGTTGGATGCCATCCGACTCTCCACTGTCCCAGCCTTGTCTCCAATAATCTGGCTCCAGGTAAGAGGCCTGTTAACACTGCCCAAGTAGGAATTCTTTAAGGGGTTCAGACTGAGAGCCAAAGCTGACCTTAAGCGTGGGCAATAAGACCCCTGCGAGAGTACAACACAGCACCACTTTTTTCTGATTTTTAAAAAAATGAATGCACAGGTAATTTAGGCAGCTAGGTGGCGCAGTGGAAAGGGCATTGGGCTTGGAGTCAGGAAGACGTCCTGATTTCAAATGTGACCTCAGACACTTAACTAGCTGTGTGACCCTGGGCAACTCATTTAACCCTGTTTGCCTCAGTTTCCTCATATGCAAAATGAGCTGGAGAAGGAAATGGCAAACCACTCAAGTATCTTTGCCAAGAAAACCCCAAATGGGGTCACGAGGAATCGAATATGACTGAAAACAACTCAATGACTGCAGGGGACAATAACAAAAGCGATTTGCCTGTACTTAGCTGGGACCCCAAACCAGACCCCAGAAAGATGTGTCCATCTTATGCCCCTCCGCAGTCTAGACTTAGGTTTTTGTTCTTCATGTCTTCCTTTGCCAACTTGACTTCCTCATTTGTCACTTCTGTCAGTGCCCCCTTCACTGGGTCATCTTTCGGTCACTGGATCATACTGGACAGCCTGGTTCATTGGATTTGGAGCCAGAGGACTTGAGTTTGAATCCTGACTCTGCTACTTACCTCTGTGACCTTGGCAGTCACTCTATCATTCTGGGACTTGGTTTTCCTCACTTATAAAATAAGGGGGTTAAATTCTAAGGTCCCTTCCACTTCTGCTTATAATCCTTTCTTCTTTCCTTGAATCATAAAACTTTAGCACTAGAAAGGATGTTAGAAATCACCTTCTTTTACATAGAAAGGGGGAAAATGAAGCCCATGAAAGTGACTTGGCCAAGGCAAGTCGGTAGCAGAAAAGGAATGTGAAGTCATGGACTGATTCCTTGTGCAGTGTTCTTGACTCCTAGAAAAGTCCCCTTCAAGTGTGAGTGAGACTCATGACCTCTGAAGCCCCTTTCAGATCTGGGATTCTGTGACATGACTGATGGTTGAATTATGAACCCTTGAAACCTCACTTTTTCTAGAAAGCCCTTCCAGACTGTTTAATAGAGAGCAGAAGACTCCTCACGGGTCTTTGACCCTGCTGCTGATGATAGGAAACCCTTTTATTCTTGTCCTTCCCACACAGTCGCCGCTCTAGTCATGGCCCACGAAGGAGGTAACTGAGGGGTCATTAAATAGGAATGTCGCTAGATTTCTTCACCCTCTCTTTTCTTCTCGTGTTTGCCCCTCTCACTGCCCCCCCCCCCCCGTCTTGGTGGATCTGACTCAGACTCTGCCCACTTTCACTTCCCTTTCCCACTTGTTACAGAATCCAACAGAATCTGTTTTCCACTCCGAACCAACCTAGTCCAGACCTCCCTTGTTTCCCTTCAGTAGAATGTAAGCTTCCTGAGGGCTCAGCCAGTTTCATGTGTATCCTTGCAATCCCAGCACCTAGCTCAGTGCCAGGCCCAGAGTAGCTACTTTGGACAGTAGGTGCTTTGGAATGAATGAATGCATACATGAATGAATAAATGAACTTGACACGATCGAAGTAGTGATTTAGCAGCTGTGTAAAGAATAGGGAGTCTAAAAGCATGCTTCTGCTTGCCTTGGAGAGTCAGTGTGGTGTCGAGTAAATCATATCAACCAGAGCATTGGGAAGTGTGGGTTCCTGTGTCAGTTCTACTAAGCACAGGCGAGGTGATGTTGGGTAAGTGACTTCCTGTCTCTGGGCCTCAGTTCCCTCATCTGGACAATTAGGAGCTTAGAATAAATGGACTCTAAGGTCCCTCCCAGGGCAGCTAGGTGGTACAGTAGATAGAATACTGGGCCTGGAGTCAGAAAGATCTGAGTTCGAATTTGGCCTCTCAGACATTTATTAGCTGTGTGACCCTGGGCAAGTCACTTAACCCTGTTTGCCTCAGTTTCCTCATCTGTAAAATGAGCAGGAGATGGAAATGGCAAACCACTCCAGTATCTCTGCCAAGAAAACCCCAGATGGGGTCACAAAAAGTCAACATGACCGAACGACAACAAAAGTCCTTTCCAGGTCTAACATTTTATTTATTATCCTATGATTATTGCAACAACCTCCTGGTTGATCTTCCTGCTTCCAGACTCTCTTTCTGACGCCAGCTTGACCTCCCCTAAAACATCACTTTTATCCCATCAATTCATTCATTTATTCAGCAAGTAACTAGTAAGTAGCTATGAGGTGCCTGGCAATGTCCTAGACTGGTACCGCACAAAAAACCAAACCAAACCAAAAAAAGAACCAGTTTCAGTCCCTCAAGAACCTTACATTCTACTAGAAGGGAACCTGAGAGTGGATGTGGCATAGTGGAAAGAGCACTGGATTTGGAGTTTGGGTCATTTCCCATTCTTGGGACCTTATTTTCCTCATGTGTGAAATGATGGAATTGTACTGTTGTTGTTATTCAGTCATGTCTGATTCTAGGTTTTCTGGGCAAAGATACTGGAGGAATTTGCCATTTCCTTCTCCAGTGTCCCCATTTTACAGATGGGGAACTGAGGCAAATAAGGGTTAAGTGACTTGTCCAGAGTCACACAGCTCATAAATATCCAAAGCTGGATTTGAACTCAGGTCTTCCTGACTCCAGTGGGTAAAGCACCTAGCTACCCCAGCTCCCTATATAGAGTTGGACCAGATGATCTCCAAGATCCTTTCCAGCTACAAATCCATGATCCTATGTATGCAGAAGAACCATGGCTTGGTACAAGTACAGAAGCATCCAACAGGGGCATACATAAGGATCCCTGTGGGCCACATCTTGACTTAATTTTAAAATGTGATATTATCTATCTTGTATTTTCCTTTATTTTATTAAATATTTCCTCATTATATTTTAATCTGATTTAATCAGGAATGATGTGGGCTGCATGCAGCTCTGAAGGCAGTGTGTTTGACACCTCTGGTATAATGGACAGGTAGCTGTTCAAGTCTCACCTCTGACTCATAGTGGTGGTGTGACCTCTGGGAAGTCACGTGAACTTCTCACTACCAAAGGCAACTAACCCCATAAACTACACAGAAGTTACCAAACCGCACTGGTAAAAATTCCTTTCTTGGAGGTCTATGCACCAAAGAAATCTCAGGTGATGGATTCAGATGTCAGTACAAAACAATCTGGGGGCTGGTAGAGAGCCCTAACACTTTGGGTGTGGGAAGACCTCAAAAGCAGTCTTTGAGAAAGCTAAAGAGTTTAAGATGAAGAAAAAAGAGTTCATCCCTGTGCACAGGGGACAGCCTGGACAAAGGCAGGAAATTATTTACTTTGTATAGACAACATGTAGGCCAGTTTGCCTGCAACATAGAATGCATGAGGGAAAGTAATAGTGTAACTTCCTTCTGGAAAGATAGGTTGGAGCTAGATAATAGAGGGTTTTAAACGCCAAACAGAGTTTTTGTTTTGTCCTAAAAGCAATAGCGAGCCACTGAGGGG